TGGTCTCCTGGTCCTTGTCTACTACCATGATGTCTGGTTGATTGGCCAATCAACCAGACATCATGGTAGTAGACAAGGACCAGGAGACAGTGGTGGTGATAGATGTAGCAGTGCCTAGTGACAGCAACATAAGGAAGAAGGAGTATGAAAAGCTGGAGAAGTACCAGGGTCTGAAGGAGGAACTAGAAAGATGTGGAAAGTAAAGGCCAAAGTGGTCCTAGTGCTAGTAGGAGCACTCAGGGCTGTGACTCCTAAGCTGAAAGAGTGGCTCCAACAGATCTCAGGAACAACATCAGAGCTCTCTGTCCAGAAGAGTGCAGTGCTAGGAATAGGTAAGTTACTGTGCAGAACCCTCAAACTCCCAGGCCTCTGGCAGAGGACCTGAGACTGAGGAAGGCACATACCACCTATAGGGCTGAGAGGGGATTTTTTTTTTTTTTATTTGGTGTGTTCAGGGAATTTCCTAGATATGTGGTAAAGAAAAGCAATAACTATCTTGGACTGGGAGACGTAGAGTAGTGTTGGTGATATGCAAAACCCTTATTTCTTCCAACTGATTGGAGATAACTAAAATGGATTAAGAGAGGAGTACATTGGATATCTGCAATGAATCTATTTTTTTTTTTTAATTTGATTGATTTAAAATCAGGAAGTCTTCTAAGAATCCTGAATGCAGAACAAATTCACATGTGAAAACCTGAGTACAAATCCAAAGAGGTCTGAACCAAAATGAACTGGATATTGGAAATGAACTCTAAAAATTTAATGTACACATTTTTATTGGATGGTTGGCCTATCATTAGATTTTGCATGTATCAGATGGCATAATTTAAATTTAGTATAATAATTTCTGACTCGCTATATACTAAAGCATCTAAAAAAACAAGTGAAGGAGATAGCTAGCAGAATCTCTAATAAAAAGTCTTTATATGTTTTATTAGAACCTTAAACAGAGATCAACTTGGAACATAAACAAATTTAATTGAAATGCCTAGAGCAACTTGAGCAATATTTCCTTGAGAATATTGGCAGGTTTTTTCCCTTTTTCTCCAGTCTCAGAATCCTATTATTTCTCCCTCCCCCATTAATTCTTATAAGGCAAGGAGAAAAAACAACAACAACTAAAGAATAAGACCTCCTACATCCCCCCCCCATTGGTGGTTGTGTACTGTCTTTACTCATTCCCTATAGTATCTCTGCTTTTTAAAAAGTATGAGGAAATTTTTAAAATATATTGTGTTGAAAACTTGGAAAGAATCTCATAGAAATTTGGCAAGATTAATGATCTCTAAAGGTTCTGTCATCCCTGCTATTTTTATTCATTCTAGGAGGGAGGGGACCCAAAGAGGTTACAAGTATGATGCTTCCCATTATAGCCTAGGAAAACTATTTTCTCAAATCACAAATCAATTCCAAATGATTAGTGTTCCTCTCTAAGCTCATATTTTCATCAAATAATGTCCTCTTCAAATCCCACTGCTTCAATCAATATCACATAGTCCTAGTGTTTTCTCCCTTTAAGGGTTAACATTCTCACTGGTCCCTTCTCTTTACCATTCTTCTTCTTGTGACTATATAGTTAGCTATTCTTCATTTTTAGTGTCCAGGATTGTGGTAATAAAAAACTTAAATTAAAAAGCACTTTTCTATGCACTGAAAGCTATTTTCCTCCTCTTGGTTTAAGTTATAGAAGAAAGCTTGAGACAAATGTTTGAAATGTATTGCATCCAGGTATTATAAACTGTACAAATATTTATAGACAATTGTGAATCTTTAGCAAAAATATAATTTTTCTCAGCTATCAAAGGAAGTTGTGGAAAATCCATTATACAACTAACACTGTACTTTGGAGACAGAGCCACATGCAACAGAATAACTATTTACATTCTTGAAACAGGATGAGCAATGAGGTATCTGGCAGTGATAATGTAACTGCTGAAACACACATTGAGACTCCATAAATGAATCCACCCCATGATCATATGTGTAAAATATCAGTAATTACAATCTGAGTCACACTGTTCAGGTCTATCATAAAACAATTGTTTGCTTTGTTTTGTATTCTTCACTTTCATGCTAAATTAAGATCATTAAGATTGTGCAGATTCTGTTCTGTATTTTTTTGTCCTTGAGCATGAAAAGCTGGCAGCCTCTTAATCAAACTTACTTGTTTTACAGCCTTGTTCATCTGAACCGTCTCCACAATCATCAAATTGATCACATTCTAGTGCCATAGGTATACACTTCTTATTACTACAAGTGAACTCATCCTTTTTACAAGGCCTTGCTTTATATGTACTCTTGTCTGCAAAAAGATACAAAGGAGCAACCAATTGTTTTTAGCCTTTGATATTGTTGAAATTCATGTTATAAATGCACAAGGCTTTACAGAATGCTACTTCCTGGACATGTAGGTGCCTGCCATGTGGATGTGCACTAAATTAGGTTGGCATGAAATAACTAAAGGCTTTCTATTGCTCCTATCAAAGGACAGAGAATATGAGGCCCCAGATCTCCTACAATTGCCTGAAGGAGAAGTACATTACTCACACAGTGATGTCTGCTCTATTCATACATTCAAGAGAATAACAGGCCAACAGAAGGATACTAAACAAGCTGAATGCATATTGAGGAATAGAGAGCAGGATCACCTCTCTCCATACCATTTATACTTGCTTTTCACATAAGGATAATGGCTCATCTGAAGTGAGATTCTGCCATCATGTCTGTTTAAAGCAACTGAATGTCAGGTAAAAGAAATAAAAAAGGTGGGAGGAATGTGCTTTCCTCATCATGGAGAAAGTCTATCTATGTGGCCACTAGGAGTGAAAAAAAACCTGCTGGCACATAATCAATCAATTGTTCTTTCCCAGTCTATTCCTAGGTGCGTATTT